TTTTAAAATATCTTAATTATTTACATAACTAACTTTACTTCGTGGCTCCGTTTGCATGAATCGGTACCTAAAGTATTCCATGTGTTAAATTAAGATATAGTCTACCTTTGTACTAAATTTTATTTAAATCCGTGCAGTAGTTTTTGCGTGAAGTTACTTTTTCACAAACATCCATCTATCCACCCACCGTAATAAACTTTCATATTAATTATATTAATAAGGTTTATTTACTATAATTGTAATATGTATTTAGTAAAGACTGAAAAGTTTAGATTACATAAAGTTAATTAAATTAAATCTTAGTTAAATAGTTTAGTAAACTTTAAGTAGTTTAATATTTCATATAAAAAGTAGAATCTAAGAATTATAAATTTATATACAAATCCTAATTATTCTCTTGTAAATTAAAAATTTTCTTGCATATGAAAAAGACGAATTTAAAGTACATTTTTTAAATTTATAATATATTTTATTTTTCGACAAAGTTATATTACAAATGTTATTATTTTGTGACGTGTATACAAAATGAAATTTATGAAAATAAAATGTAAAATTAAAAGTTCTATGAAAAACTACTTTGTAAATAGAAAGTACATAGATATAATAAACATTATAAACTTATTTTAAAACATTGCAGATACTTACGAGTGAGAAAATACGGTAGGTATTCATCTTATGATACTATTACGGTCGTGTAAAAGACATCAACGTTATACGATGTTGTGTTTTCAATTATTTTAAATTTTGATATTTTCAAATCTTAAGTATGATACTTTATCCGACTGAGCTCACATCAAAGTTTGTTTTGCGATGTGTTGTGGCTTATATTTTACCTGCGGTTGTGGATACAGTATATAAATTTTTTATTTTAATTAATTTACTTATTAAAATTAATCAAAAACCTGAAGTAAGTTTAAAATAAACAATTATAGTTTTTGATCCAGAATAGATAGAGATCCAAACTAAGGCGTCAAATTTCCTATCTTTCAATTGTATTAAGAGATGGTACAACTGTACATTTAAATATGTATTAATTCCATTAGTAATATAAACGAAAGTTTCTAAAAATGTTTCGATGTTTATTTGATCTGATAGCTGGTCAGATTTTTAAGGAAATTTGTTTATTACATAGGGTATCTATTTTTTACCCTAATTCACAGAACCAAAGCTGATATAGTGATCATGAGAGATCAAACTTGTTAAACATACATAATTTCAATGTTTTCGCAATGAAATGTCGATTAAACAAAAGGGAGAGGCGAATACACAACATCAAATGCATAATTTTACAAATAAGCTCACGAATGTAGTTGCGTGCACGCTTTGGTTCCTTGTCGAGTTGCACTTATTGATCGGAAGCTATTCCAAGGTTGAGCTTGCAGCGGTTCTGTTTTGGATATATGGATGAAAAAACCTTTTGTGTGTATAATTCTAGCATGTGGTAGCTACTATTACTAAGGTAATATATCTATCTGTATTAATAAATATTTCAAATTGCTATTGTCTACTGTTGAACACATATAAATATGTATATATAATAATATAATATAGGGATATATATTAAAGCTGTCGTGTGCCGTTGCCGTGTGGGTCCCGCGTAGAATAGGCCACTCCTTCTTTTTCCTTAGGTATCGTAAGAGACAACTAAAGAAGGGTTTAGAGATGGGCAGCAGTGTCCTTCTTAAAACATCTCCAAAACCTAATTGCGGTTACCAATGCGCTTGCCAAGCATGACAACTACTGGTAAATCCCCCAAGGAGAAGGCTTATGTTCAGCAGTGGACAGTTAAAGGCTAATGTGATGATATTATAGTAATGGGTGCAATAAGAATAGTAGCTAAAAATATCAAAAAATACAAAAATGAGCTAAATACCAACATTGATATGACCATCTTACAAAGTCAAACATCAAACAAGTCACCATTCATACATCAACTCAGAAAAGTATTAGGAGATATCGTATTCGTACACAATACGTAAAATAATTACATTCAAAATACGTACGCAGCAGACATCAACCACTCAATTTACTGGGTACAGAGGAATAACACCTGAGTCCTCAGGGATGGCAACGCATGGGGGGTATCATGGGCGAAACAGTATACTCTGTTATGTCCATGGTACTGCTCATGTCTATAGGCGACGGTTACCACTTTCCATCAGGCGGGCCGTCAGCTTGTTTGCCATTCTAAGTTGTATAAAAAAAGAAAACACTACAGATAATTAATACACAACATTCAACAAACACAGAATCATCCAACATAATTCATATATTGAACACAACCACATTTTTATTCACAAATTTAGTATATATTAGACGAATTTATTTACGAATATATATATAATATATATATATATATATATATATATATATATATATATCTACATAATATATAATTATTAATAAGTTAAAAAAAAAACGATAAAAACCATTTTTTTGCGGGTTACAGGAGGGAGTAAATATTAAAGCTGACGTAATTCGAAAAGGTTAAAATCAAACTTAATATTATAATATAGTTATTGCCTTTAGGTTATTGAGCGACTAAAGCAAATCATCTAAGTAAATTGCAGCCACCTTTAACCAATGTGGAGCAATTCATTCGCAAGAATAAACTACCTGTGTTTAGTGACAATAACATTTATCTTAACTTAGCCACTGCAATAGTGAACTTATAAATATTGCTTATAAGGAATAAAAATGTCATATTTATTCTCCTTCTAGTTATTATCAGTAAATTTGACAGTTACTTAATAATTATGTGGAGTCTATTTGCATTGGGAATGGGTTTAGTAAATAATATCGTGGAAAAATTATTAGCCACTGGAAACTATAAATTTATGTTAAATGTGTAAAGTAGGTCTCCATGTTTTTATATGTTGTCGTATATATTGTATATTAAACACATATGTATATCTTAGGTTATATATAGAGAGCATCGAACTTAAAAACAGGTCAACTTTTTGTCAGCTAATTGTCAAATTACCTGACTCGATTTTTATTAATGTTATATATACTTACGCATACAATGTACCTTGGCGTATCTATATTTTATCACGCACACGCACACGCACACGCACACGCACACGCACACACACACGCACACGCACACGCACACGCACACGCACACGCCCACGCACACGCCCACGCACACGCCCACGCACACGCACACGCACACGCACACGCACACGCACACGCACACGCACACGCACACGCACACGCACACGCACACGCACACGCACACGCACACGCACGCACACACAAACACAAAAGATTTTTGAATATTCTTATGGAAACGGAATTTTTTTAAGTAGGCAAAGTATAATCATTATTTCTACATAATATTCTTTTACATTAAACTGAAAGAACAATTTCATATATTATAGTTCATAAATACATGTATTTCAGGAATTTAGTGACAAAGAATGTTTAGTCAGTTCGCTTAACAATCATACGATTTATTTTCAATCTATGGTTATTAACCTCTAAAAGACATTACTTTAAGATAATTATTTATATAGATTTTTATATAGAAAGCTATGGGCTTTTGATTATGTATGCAACTCTGGGACGCTTGAATCCTTTTTCATGTACATTTCACAGCTGTGTCACGAAATATAACCTTTTTACAGTCGTATAAAAAAAGATTAGTACCTACCGTAATCATATTATATTTGTTAAAATTCGTTAAAATTCGTTAACGGCTCATTTTAACCTTAAAACGATTTGGCTTATATTACTCTTTTCTTTGGGTTCACTTCCTGGATACTCTTTAATGCTATAAAAATATCTGATTCGAAACAGTTTGTAAAAATAGATATTTTTTAAACATACATTGAATATTTATTAATGGTCGAGATATTTAGGTTTATACGAGTATTTACCTTAATATCAAGAAGAATAGTAAGGTTTTAATTTTTATATGATAATAATTATTATGCAAAGAGTAATCTTAAAATCTATATTTCTTTACAAAAACATGTACTTTAGCTATTCCAAAAAATGTTAAACAAGAACGATTTTGTTAACTATTTTCTTTTAAAAATGTTTTATAAATTTCTTTATTGATAACGACGTTAAAAGATGTAGGTACTTTATCAACCAAACGTTACAAAATCGTAAATCAACGTACGCAGGTATTAAATTAATCTCAAAGTAGTGACATATGTAAATCTTAGTTCTTAGACTATCAGGAGAAGAGTTCATGAGTTTATATACATAGCTGAAGACAGGCTAGGGGTTCTTGATAATTCCAATTAGGATAGTTAGAGGTATAAGAGGCCTCCAGTATTTTTTGGCTTTAATTGTTAGTTACTTGTTTACCATCACTAATTAGTTGGTAGGAAATTTAAATTGACAATATTTTTCATACAATTTGTGTTTTTCTTTTTTTATACTAAAAATACTATATCTTATTACACCTTTTCAAAGTGTAATAAGATATAGATAAGAAGTAGCAGGCTTATATTTCGATTATTTCATTAATTACAAACAGTACAGTCGTCCGTAGATGCCACTAATCTCTATCGGGGACTACAGTCGTGAGCATATTTTTTTATTTTACTAGATTATTGTAGTATTCTATAGTAATATCGCAAATAAAAATGTATTTTGCCTATGACGGGTAGTTATTAACGTAGTGGTTTTATATTCTCTTTGAATGGAGACAGACCGTCGAATCTATATACAAATCTAAGAATAAATAATTTATTATAAAGGTCATCGACAAATACATATTAAACAAATGTATTTCGCATAATGCCATTTAACCTTCCAATAGTATTAATTTAAGGAAATCCCGATTATTTAATTAAGATAAAAATATAATTACGGAGCAACCCTCGAAACATCCCCAACGCGTTCCGGAGGATATGCGCATGTGCATCTTACAATTAAAAATTACGGCATTGCACTTGCTAGCTAGTTAATTGTTTCCAATTACCTACGAACCGCCAAAGCGGGGTGTTTCATATATAAGGGCGTAGGCTGTGTCCAATCGACATTCTGACTTCGAAAGTGGTTGCGTACACACGTCGTCGCTTAGGCGAAAATTTCTAGGCGAGTACTGGACAACCAGCAGCGCCTAAGTTAGTTCGTTTGAGATCTCCAAAACTTAGTTTAACATATAATAATCATGCAGTCTATGGTAAGTGTTTATTTTTAATTTTTTTGGTTAGGTACTTATAAATTTTATTTTTAGTATATTTCAGATTCTATTTATGACATATAGGTAGCGAAGGCCGCTTATGGTTTACTGTGTCTTATTGTTTTATTTCAGTTTATTAAGTTTATATAACAATTTTGCTTAAGAAAATTCACGTACGTTATGTGTCCTGATACCCCATTTATCTAATATATTTATTTATAAAAAAGACTATATAATATAATTCAGTACAGTAAAATATATCAAAAATAGTATAAAATATCATAAAATATATTTAAAAATTTGTAATGAGTATTAGTCGTTTATCAAACTTAACAGCAATTCAAATATATTGAGACTCGTAAATCATTAAGACAGGTAATTATAAACAAAATATATTATACTTGTAAATTACTATCAATATTATGACTTGCTAGTAAATATTGCAATAAGCCTAAATTACAGCAATTGTAACAATTGTGTGGTCCTAAAGTTATTAGGCACATAGCATTATGAGAAAAAGATAACGAACATCTAACCGAAACCACCCAAATTAAACTCAAATTCGAAAAACATTTTTCCTAAATCCTATCAGAGAATCCAACCTGAGAACATAATCTTATACAGCAACGTATCTAACCTAAGAGGTAATAAAAAATAATCTCCTTGAGATAATAGATTTAAAAATATCTTGTCTGTAATCACAGCGTTGTTATGCAGTATTGCGCAAGAGAAATTTGAATTAGACATAAATTATGCATGTTCTACACGGCACTTAATCCTGCCCACAATTTGTTCTTACCATATAAATCACAAAGGCACTAAAATCTTAATCAGTTTCAAAGCTAAATATTATGTCAAGGTCTTATTAAGATAACACAATGTGAGCACCAATTCTAATGTATGCATCCGGCTTAGCCGCCCTCGGAATATATTAAATTTCCCGACTTAGATTTCCCCTTGAGATACACGTCACAGAACTGTACAATTATTTTCATTTATAGTTAAAAATAAATATATAAATATTGACTTATTGCTTTTAATAAAAAAATAAAATTGTCAATTTAAACTTCATTAATATTTTCATAAACGCGATGGGCGGGCTGATTTCATGCATATCGTAGGCGGTAGGAACATGATAAACGATAACAAAAATATACATACGCCTATAGAATTCATTTTTATTATGTATTAGTAGTATAAATTCATCAACATTTTGTTTTCAAATACCATTTTAAGTAATAAATAATCTGCTGTAATTAGTGCAACCAGTAACAAGAGAGTTAATTGACTTGCATAGAATTCTGTACCAATAATTTGATAATTTAGCCAATGTTCAACAACAAATAAAAATATTTGGGCTCATTAGCTTGCAATCAAGCGTGACGGTCGCATTTTCTATTTTCAATGTGATAATTTTCTTGTGACCTTCATGTAGCCCTAACACTTCCTCACGCCCACGGCTTCCTCTTGGCTAACTCTAAATTGCAATGGACTGGTTGTGCACCAGTTCGCCGAATGATAATTCCGATCTATTGCAAAATGGCTTTTGCAACAGAATGCAAAGGCAAGTCGATATGAGGTCCACACCCACAAATTATAGAGCATTCGCTTTGTCTGATGTCCTTTAATTTTCCACTATATTGAAGGCAAAATGTGGATCAATTTGGATAAGTGCCAAGGAACAAAATTTGATATGACGAGGGAGTTCAAAGTATTTTTTTTATACTTTATCAAATGTCTAAATAAAAAGTTTTGCAAAAATAATAATATGAATAGATTTCCAATTTGATTTAATATTTTTTTTACTTTCATATAAACGTCATTTAAAAAGACTACCTATTGTAATAAAAAATAATGAAATTGTTCGATTAATTATTTTATATAATTTGTTATATAGGCTAAAGACAAAATATGATCTGATTAAATAAGGGAATTAGAACAAACCTATCCGCGCCTAGTGGTCGTGTCTATTCATCATTGCATAACTATCGATTGTTTATAAAATGCCATAAGTTATTTACACAAGCGATAAATTTTGCCAACAGTCTCTGCGCTTACATGAACAATATTTAAGAATTCGGGTTTGACTACATAATAGTTAATCACTTAAAAATAATTTGATAACCGTAGATAGAGAATAGAACCTATGTAAAGTTTAATATACGAGTACATAAAATAAGGGTAGTATCTGATAGTATATAATGGTAAGTCATATTATGTAACTGTAGTAATAAACGCCTATATTTTCTTTATGCATCAACATGGATGCGAAATGTTATAAGAATTACAATTTTAGTATTATTACTATACTATGTAATAGACTATTATTGTATGAATTCAGATAATATTCCATCGCAGTATTTATACTCTTGCCTTTAGATATGTATTTGTACAGTATTCGTCAATCTTTTTCATTTACATGTGTATGTATAACAAGCGATCTTGATGACAATTATCATCGTCGAAACAAAGCAGTCCACTGTTGGACATAGATCTATCTAAAGATATTACTTGATACATGCTTCATACATATTTAATAACAATTAGTCGCCCATTAGGTAAATGGTCTGCGAAATAAAAAATAAATTGTGAAATATTATAAAAAATAGTATAACTATAAGAAATGTTGAATCATGTTCGATTGTGTTCGATAATTAAACACGACAGTAACATGAATCATTCGCGTTTTACTTAGCCGTTTATTGTAGTTTAATAAATGTTGCAGTAGGTAAATTTAGATTAATTCATGAATTGCAAGTTTGAGATGTCTTTGGTCCAAATTGGATGAAAATAGATGTAGTAATTACATGTACATGATAATTTTACACACTAAATATTAATAGACACAAAAGAACCTATTTTAAATACGTATATTCGATTTGTTTTCCTTTATCTATTATGAATCATTAAAGTCCCGATATGGGTCTTTTCCCATAATAGCGAATCCACTTTCACTGTGCTTCTGTTGGCAGACTGCTTGATATACAGTTTTATGCTGAATTTTCTTTTTTCCATTGTCTATGTTTCTAAATGAAGATAATATTAAAAGATCAGAGTTCCTACTTCAATTTCGTTACATTAAAGTTTAGATAATTAACGAAAATAATATTACAGGTAGCCTTTTAAAATAACTTTAAGACTTCTGCACTAGCACCCTCTTAGGTTTTTTATCAATACTTAAATATAAACATGTTAGTAAGTAGAAAAAATTATGATACAAATTGTTTTCTTATTATATTTGTAGCTTCAATCTTTCTTTATAATTGGATTCATAGAATATCTATGGTTGAATAAGTTTATATTCTAGTTATTTTTTACTATCTGGTACATAATTTTAAGATATCTACTTAAAATTATTAGTCGGTAGAGACTATATTTAGTAATTCACTTTGCTAATCGGTTTTAATAATAATAGATATTCAACTGCTACGTAAAGTATTTCTTTATTGAAATTGAGTCATCAGTAAAATAACAGGTATCAACTATAGCTACTAATATTGGTGACGTCCATAGGCTACGGTAATCGAGGAACTTACTTACTTTTTTATATTTACAGATAACTAATATAATATAAATAATACTACGATATGTTTGATAGATTTGATTACAAACGTCCACTTATAGTAAATTGAAAGATGGAAAGGAGATGTGCTACAATATATACACAGAGCATATAAAACATAATTATTTAAACAATATCATGTAAAAAATTGCGAATTTGACAAAAGTCATTGTTCAACCAATATAGCAATGAAACCTTTTAAATAAAAAAGTATAATTTAAATGGGTTTGGGATTAGCGTTGCATAAAGGTGTTGCATAAATACACAAGATAATACAATCGAATTATTTCTTCTTCTATCTTTTGATTAAAGTTAATTATACTATATTTTTACCTTCGGCGATTTCGTACCTGAAATAACGTAAAGGATACATTTTATTCTAAATTTTGCGAGCAAAACCGCATGTTACAGCTGGTGCCTAGTAAATTATATCTTGCGGCTGTGTATTGGTTATTATTAATTTGGAACATAATATCGAATAGCTTTCCACACGTACATTGTTAACAACATTCGTAACGCGATATAGTTATATTCAATTCATAATAATTTTGTTTGAAACCGCAATCAATTTGATATGAATTGCAATGAAATTGGGATATTAAGTACTTTGTATAAGACAGAAAGTTTAGAAAACGCAAACAAATTTTGGGAACTGATTTTCTTACCGTAACAACTTTTAAATATCCTATTACATTATATATGTGAGTATTTGTATGTAAGAAGAGGATCTTGTTTATTTACACAAGTTAAAGAATATTACAAAGTACAAAAGTTGATCTTATAGTTAAAGCAACCTGTTCCAGGCAACATTTGGATTGAGGAGAAAAGTAGGCAGTAATTACATATTTATATTTTAGTCAAATATTACTTTTATTATGCTTGGTATAGGGTTTTATTTTAAGATTTCTTTCTCTAGCCCTGAAGTATTGCGCTCTATTTCCTAGCTCTTGCGAATCCAAATGACTATAAAGAAGTGGAGAAAACTTATATTGTCACAGTGCCACTATTTTTATAATTCTTTTAATTTATACATGCTAATTGATTGATTATCGTAGATCGTTAATTAAATTTGAATAGTTAAGCATTCTGTATGTTTAACAATAGTCGGAAGTTTATACAAGAATTTTAAAAAGAATTAATTTGTTACGAAACCATATATCCTCTTCCTAAAAGATGTACCTCAATTTTTTTCACTAAAGCAATATATCTAGTATATGCAGAAGATAGATGGAACGCTCAGTCATGAGGATATGAACATAAGAATGTATATGGGTCATCCCCATATCGGGTTATATAAAAGGGCATATTAAGGTTTTTTCAAGATCCGTGCGCGCGATATCATTGGTATTATAGGCGTTTATGGGCTATGTTAACCATTTATTATCAAACGGACTGTACCACCACAACATTGTGGTATCAAAAAAATTTGTATTCATCCATATTTTTGAATATTTGAACGAAAAAAGCAATGGTCTTTTTCAACTAGGTGATTTTCAGGAAGTTTGATTTCTATTTAATTTTAGTGAACTTTTTAGTTTCGAGTCTTTAGTAAAGTTCATATCTCCAGAAAGCATTTGCTGAAATACTTCGTTCTATATTTAGGCACTTCAAATTTTCTTGGAACTTGAATTCGAGAACACAGTTAAAAGAGGTCATTGAATTGGACTGGGGTCGCACTTGCTGAAAATCACTCAACTATTTTGTTTTTCGATTTAAACTACCTTAGAAATAAGTACAGTAAAGTAAAAATAATGAGGTCTGTTGAGATCCAAAATTAGTAAATGATCACAGAATTAATAATATTAGAATTTTGAATTAAGTAACTAAGAACTAAACACGTTTCTAGAAGCAGCGATAAAAATAGCCGCGTCTAAAACTAATTGCTTCGTTTAACGATTTCCTAGCTCGGTTTATCTGTCATCTGCGTTAGTCTATGCGTGCAACTATGCCCCGCCTAGTGTTACATTTAACTCTTTGGTTAGTACGCATAGTTTTAAGATAAGTATCAATTATAATTAATGTTAAAGGATAAAAGACAAAACTTCGGTAATCATTTGCGAATAAATTAATATTTATTAAACAAATGAAAATTATTTCTTTCACAGAAATTAACGTAAACTCTTATTATTTAGACGAGTACATAATATTTTTTTAAAGATACAGGCTTCTCTTATTGGTTAATTATAAGAATATATAAACCGTTTTATATTTCATGTAATAAAAATGTCACTCGTGAATAAATTGCAAAAATTAAGACTTATAAAAAATTACGAATTCCTACAATAATAATAAAATTGCATCAGTTTGCGTCTAGCTGCAAGTTCACACGCATTGTAAAGCGGTCAGTAATGGCGAAACAAGGTTATGCTATAATATAGTGCAACGACACGATACTTACAAAATTAAATAATATACAAACGCGCATTACCGTGAGAATGGAGATACAATCATTAGATAATTCAATAATTTCTAGATTTAAGTTTCCTGTAAGAAGTTTCAATTGATATTAAAACAAATGCTCATTTGTTTTCGTGCTGTCAGAATTATAATGCCAAAATAAAAACGCAATGCCAGGTGCTTAGGATTTAAAACTGATTGTTTTATTGATATTATTCTTAATTACCTATATTACAATATGTTTACCTAAGATAAACGTTTAAAATTAGGCACCTTTTAAATACTAAATAAAATTCGGTCACTAATTAATGTGTCAAATACTTTTTTCGTACTCATTTTTAAATTACGTCGCACTAAAGAATTGAAATACAATACAGTTATAGGAGGAACATATTTCCCTCTATGAAATAATTTTCTGCCGAGGTTTTATTAGAGAATTCATGAGTCTATTATTTTTTTTTTTTATATATATCGTGATATGAACAAGTCAGTCATGCATGTTTGGGATCAATTAGTCGCATTTTAAAATAATTATATCGATTTTGTATAAACCTCAATCGATCATAAATTCAATTATGCACGCTACGTGTTCGATGATTAGTAATACAAGATAATTTGAGTTTGACAAATTGAAATGATCTGATAATTTGATATATAATTAATATTTTCCATTTAATGTACTCACTATGTAGATTATAATTTAAAACAGGAGAGTTCATTGATATATTTGTATTTAAAGATTTTGTCCCATAAAAGTGGCTTCGATTATGGTGACTATTTATAATTACTTGAAATTTTCAAATAATTTTATGATCACTAAAAAGTAAATAAGCTGGAAGTCTTTGAATTATATTAACTAAAATAGTTTTAACCAAATTTTATTTTTATTCCCAAAAAAAATCTTTAATTGGGTCTTAATTACGTGCAATATTAAAAAAATAAACCAAACCATCTAATTTGGGGATACGCTTATACCATCCAACAGCATTTAGTATTTACTTATATTCATATAGACAGTATGATGTATTTTATTTTTTCATTCAGTGAAAGTTATCTAGTAGTAACATTTTCCTTGTGGTTTTCGTGGCGCATTGGTGCAGGCGTGAAATCGTAGGTTCCGCTCCGATTAGTCACAGCCGCGGCCAATGTCGACGGATAGTTATCGGTTTCCTCATTAACTATTTAAACTTGAAATCTATTGGAATATATACATATATGTGGAAGTGAAAATGCATGGGATATGCTGTCGAACGCCCAGTATTATATTACGATTAAAAATTTAGTATTTTTCTTTAAAATTTTGTCTAAAATTTTAATATCAAATTAATAGTTTAACAAAAGTTATGTTACGGACTACTAACAACTCTAAATTTAAAGTGACTGCTTAGCTTTATTGTGATATCAATAACTTTTTTTGCAATAAAATTTATGTAAAATTAAGCCCTGTTAATGGGCAGATTAAAGACTTTTATTGTTGTATAAAAGTTTCATATTTTTTTTGTCACTCAATGCGGGGTCATAGTATGTTATGTCTCAAGACTTATTAGTAATTTGTTTTTGTTTCAGATTATCCTCGCAGCCACTCTATGCCTTGCTCAGGCTTCATACTACGCCGGCCCACCCGCTCACATCCAACTTAGTCCGGATGGAAAATACGTATTGGACACACCCGAAGTAGCACATGCAAAAGCTGCCCATTACGCGGCCCATGCGCAGGCCTCAACCGCTCACGGCGCGTGGGCGCCCGCCGCTGGTTACCTCGGAGCACCCGCCGCGTACGCCGCTGGTCACTACGGCGCGCCCGCCGCTGGTAAAGAACACTGATTAATTTAATACCCTATCCTATATCCTAGCTTGAGGATTGGGATTGGTGTATATGTGTGGCATTTAAGCATGGATAATCCTTTATAATTATAATATTTAACATTGGCGCATAAACACGCTATTCATTTTTTATATCAGTTCTAAATTTTCTATTAAGGCAATCAACTTTACGACTTCACTTTTGTTTCTATTAGTAATATATACTGATATAATTCATAATTTTGTATAATATTCATGTTTATATTAAATTTCTCAAAGGTCTTCTCAAGTACGGTCCTGCGCCTCTTGCGCACGACGGCCGCGTGGTGGACACTCCCGAGGTAGCGCACCTGAAGGCTGCGCACGCGCAGGCCCACGCTGCGGCGCATGTTAACGCTGCCCACGGGCTGGCGCCGCTCGGTCATGGTGCCCTCGCGCCCCTTGGTGCCTATGCTGCTGCACCTCTTGCCCACGGAGCCGGATACGCCGCGGGTTACGGCAAATGGACTGGCCCTCCAGTATGTTCGCTAAGTTTAACTTGCTATATATTTTTAGATTAAAATTTAAATTAGGCATTTAGTTTTTTTATGTATATGAATTTAATTCTTTCTACCTACCCCGCAAGGGACTTGGCGTGAAAACAGAAGGATTTTTTAATTTACACTTATTTTAATATGACGTTTTTTGAAATTAAACACAAACGAACTGCATATAAACGGTTGGATAGCCCACCTGATTAAAAATGGTAACCATCGAGACTTAATACAATATTTATTATAAAATGCACTATGATGGTGCTATGCCTTTGTTTCAGTCTCAATGATTGTTACTTGTTTGCGTAGCCATCTAAATAGTTAATTTGTAATTTATAATTTTGCTTTTTAGGCCCACATCCAGTTGACCCACGACGGCCAATACGTAGTGGACACGCCTGAGGTGCAGCACGCGCGTGCCGCCCACCTCGCACAATACGCGGCCGCAGCGCACGCCGCTGCCGCCTCCCCTGAGGAGCCTTGGGGAGGAGCTGGAGCCCACGGCTGGCATTAACTCACTACCTCTGACCTAAACTACGACACTGCCTATTTGCCTTTTTATACAAAATGTATATAAAAACAAAAAAAAATGTTGTACTGTATAAAGTTGAACGTGTACGTGTAATGCAAACTGCATATACTGTAGAGCGAACTTGAAAATGTAATATTAAAAAAAATCTAATAATGTTATATTTGTGTTTCCTTAAATTTTCTACCTTTCCTTCAAAATTAATGTTAGAAATAGAACATACAAATGATAAAAGGTAGCCATTGTCCTTCTACCAAATTACAAGACAATTGGTTGAAGGGTTAAAGCATTAAGCAACAAAAAAAATTCTTTAAAAAAAAATTTGTCCTTAATAATATTATAAATGTGAAAGTGTGTTTGTTTATTTGTACCTTAAAAAGGATATTAACGGCTTCACTAATAACTATGATCTTCGGTATACATGTACTGTATGTAATAGAGAAGGAAATTGGGCTTATTTTTGCGAGGACGTGCATAAAAAGTAGTTTTCCATTATTAAATTGATGGAATATTTTTTTTCTTCTACTAATCTGCACATTGATAATTCCTTATAGAACAATAATCTAATATACTCTTTGGATGTTAGGTTTGAATTTTCTTTTTCATTTTCTTATTCATCATTCATTCCTCTCAGTCTCTGTCTGCAAATGTTTCCGTCAATTTTTAGATGCTGTGCCTTCTAAGGCTTCTAGATCCCAGTATTTAATGGGAATTTAATTTTCTTGCTACTATCTATTATATTTCTGTTTGCATATGTTTGTTTGTATATACGCATGTATATACAAGTCTTATGTTCAGAATAAAACAAACTTGTGGTAATAGAAAATTCTTTTAACATTTTTTTATTAGGTTTATAATACCTAACTACTTGTTATTGTAATCTATACATGCAGTATTAGTAAAGAGGACTATATTATATCTTCTGTGTATTCAATATGTAGTACTTATTCCTTGCAGTAGACATTTCACCCCAAAGGTACTCTATCCTTAATCTATCCCTCTTATTCATGAAAACGTCAAATCTCTCATAAACATACTTTGATATTGAACTGTATTGTCTCTATCTTTTGTGCTAATTTCCCAATTTAAAATAATGTGACAAAACAGTGTAACAGTTGAAATAGATTTGTAGAAGATGTTTTTGTTTTTATGAATGAGATGGTATGATTTTACCATACTCCTTATTGTTGTGTTTTATTTTTTTATTTTATTGTTAGGGAGGAAAACGAGTAGATAGACAGAGATAGAGTAAATAGCTAGAAACAATGATTTGCAAATATTTGCACCAGTTTTCAAATACAGTCTAGGCCGGCGTGTTTACACACTAATTGTTTGCCGTCCGCACCAGAGGGCAGGAGTGTCCATACATTCCCGTACATTTATTGGGACCGACATATATAATGTATACTCGTATGTGTTGTGGTAGAGTATACTGCTGTGAAAGTATTAAAAAAATATAAATAAACTGAATACGGATATATCAGTCCCATTACTAAAAATAAACCCTAATATCATCATCATACCGTTGTGGTTAATCCTTGTCAAATTCGTCTCGATAGGCCAATTGACCTGCTCTTATCTTCACCTGTCATCTCTCATTAGTAGCCTATCAGTTTATACACATATTATTAGCACAGGTGGAGTCAGCATTCCATTTTCGCCTATTAAAAAATAAGTTCTCCAATTCCACTTACGTACATAAATATTAATAAATTTGCAGGCGTTAACAGAGTCAATTCGGAATCGAATCGAAATGTAATATAATCAAGGGAACACATTAGGATTGATAATTGGTAAATTATAAATTCAAAATTAACAAAAAATTGGCTTTTATTTTTAGTATTAATATAAACACAATGGTTAGTATGGTTACACGGAGATATCGAACCACACAGACACAATCATAGGGAAAAAATATCTTTTATGAATACAGATTACATATACATTTTTAACAGAGATAACAAAAGAATGCATGCGCCACTTTAACTTAATTAAATATTGTTCTTTTTCAATCTACATATACCTATTAGCTGAACCCAAATCAGATTTTTTTTAGTATAATTCTCATTTATAGATACCTATTAATTCCTCTCTTTCCGTGACTAGAAGAAGTAGATAAAATGTTATTTGAGAAATTATTTCAGGGTACGATAGGGCTGATATACCTGAAAAAGGTAAAAATCCTTAAAATAAAAAAAAAAAAACTATACAGGCATGATTTTACTCGTACGTTTGCATTTAATCGATAAAAATAGTTGATATAGTAGGAAACAGTAACACACACAACTTTACTAATGATTATTAATCATTTTTGAGTTTTGTTACTATTAAAATTTCAAAAGAATTTTTACATTGTTTTAACTATTACTATATCAACATTTTGATTAAGAAGTGTCATCTGTTTGTGAGCACGTTAGGTAAAAGTAGATTACTATTCATTATCAGCCTATTGTAATCCACTGCTGGATACAGGACTCCTTCAGTGCCTTTAAATCAAAGTGAACATTTGCCTTTTGCATGTATTTTCTTTCCTTTGTCTTGCAGAGATTGTTGGATTATCTGGAGGGAGGTTGGCCTACGGAAAAAGTGGATTGGTCGATTTAGTCTGAATTCCCTTTTATAATATATTTATATTACATTGTGTATATAATCTATTTGTTAATACAAGTGCGAAATAGTTGATGCTAATGTTACAGTTATACGTTTATACAAATTTGTTGCTATTTAAATTTGAAAGGCGTTTTCGTGAGTTTTTGTTTGCCTGTCTGATTGCATATATACAAGTATCTAGTAAAAATGGTTAGGTCGATTTGATATTAATTTTATTCATTACAAAGAATACAATTACATTGCCAATGATCTATTTTTTACTTATAATTTTATATACTTTTGTCAATAAAATTGCAAATAAATAATAAGCATTGTCATTGAGAAAAAATAAGAATAGGTACCTATAATATAGTTAACTTACAATAGAACTCAAATACTATAACTTTCTAAATCTATCTGAAATATATGTAGCTAATCTACTTAAATGTAATGTAGCCAAATTCTTTAGAAACTCCTTTACCGTTTCAATAGCAACAAAATTTCTAATAATAATATCAATCTTTGTAATAGTACAAAAATAAAAAGTTGTAAGGATGTATGAAAGGAGGTTTAAAACACTTTAACTCATAAACTACTGGGTAGATTTAAATGTGGTACACGGATAGGTTCTATTATTATCGAAACTTAATATCACAAATGTTCAGAAGGCCACACTTGTAATGGGCGAAGATGGAATGGTAACCTCGTTTGCACTAGTGGTATACCTTGGAAGAGCAGCAGTTAGGGATAGTAGGTGTAAATGAAATCAAATCAATTGGCCTGTCGTAATTAATTCAACAAGAATTAACCACGATGGTTTCCAGGGGGAACCGTGTGGAGGTTGACCTGGTAGGGTATACTATTAGTAATAGGACTTTTAAATCTCATTACTGATAATCCCTTTCCCCCTGTATACCGTCGGTTTAGGATTGTAGAACAATATTCGAATGGATCAACGAAATATGGGTTAATGATTCCTATTTATATTCAAAGTGGCATACCAAAATTACTCGGTTTTATACAATCTGTAATCATAAAACAACGCCCATGTCGAGCATGATATTGATTGATTAATTAGTTTTATTAATGGATTAGTATATTTAGTATGCATGTATTTAAATTTATCCTGTACAGCAGAATTTACGGCGGTCAACATCATTCAAGAATACCTAACCCAATAGCAATTATATTACCGTGCTTTTTTTAAAGTCGGGGAAATTAAGTAAATTATGTAAGTAAAAAGGTAAATTCAGTTTAAGTAGAATTACATTTTATACATAATTTTAAATACGCAGTTAAGGTGTATTGACTGATTGAGATAAGATTTAAGAAGAGTATTGATGAAGAGATAATGATTGGTCGAACTGTTAAGACCCCAAAAAGTAAATAACAAATGAGCCTACTTCTAAATTTATAATATTAATAAGAATGTATCGTATTGCATGATTTTTCGAGTGTATTCAGACATATGCACCTTACATATGTATGAATCTTAGGCACAACCTATATCTTAAAACTACCAGACAAAATTACATGTAAGTGAGGATGATATCACGTCAGTTTACCCAAATAAAGTAATCGTGATAACTCCCAGGGTGTATTACTTTTTTTATTAACGGCTGAAAAATTATTTATGCAGACCAATACACCCTGTGGAAGGTGAATGGGTACTGTGGGAATCCCCCCGTAAGGCGGGGATGTACCCACCAAAAAACCAGACGATATACCCTCGAGGTGTCATATGTCGGAGAGATGGGATCGCTTTCGCACTTACCACATCTCTGACGGCAGCGACCCTCCCCCTGATGGTAAGGGCAGGTCTCCTCTCTCAAGATAGTATTACCTGTATGTCGACTTAGTACAGTACATTACTAACAGTGGAAGTGCTAATCCTCAGGTAGCAATCCCTTTCCTTAGCCAAATTATGGTATGCAGTTATATGTTAAACATCATCATTCAATTAAATCATCAAGTGGTTCAGCTTGTTTATAATTTATTAGTATGGGATTAGAGGACGTAAAAACTAATTGTTTCCTCTCTCACTACATTAGACTATGGCTGACTAGGTCGGCTGGAAGAGATCACTTTCGGAGATAAGCCCACCCTTGTAATAAGTTGGTAAACCAAATATATATATATATAGTGATACGGATGAATGGTTTTATTAATTTGATGCCATTTAATAGTTTAAAATTTTTATTCTATTTTAATATTTTTTAAACACGAAGCATGCTGTGGTTGTCTCTAAATGTAAGAACAGTTAGCCAGTAAGTAGTTAATAATCCACTAGTGTTATGTATCGAAATGTTTCGCTGTATCTTATGTTGGTAATCCTAAATAAATAAATACCAACAATTAAATATAGCTTAGAGTTATATAGTCTAGAGCATGTACACACATAAATCTAACAAAACCTATCTATTAGATTTGCACTTTCAATGTATTTATCTATATAAATACTTAAATACATTGAATCACATTATTTTCCTTTTTTAGAAATAATCCTAGCAGTAATTTTATCCATATTTGAATATTCATAAATGTGGCTGGTATGTATAGCAATTTATCATTT